CTATTCAATACGCCACTACTGGCGTCCATACACTTAGGAGATGGGGACATCCGACTGAGGAGTGAGTGAGGAGTGAGTAGTGAGGAGTGAGGAGTAGTGAGGAGTGGGCCGTTTCTACTACGTTTTTCATTATTCAATTCGCCATTTCCTATTCGCTTATTCGCTTTTGAACTGTTTGCTCACCATTCAGTGCGCCACTACTGGCGTCCATACACTTAGGAGATGGGGACATCCGACTGAGGGGTGAGTAGTGAGGAGTAGTGAGGTAGTGAGGAGTGAGGAGTGAGGAGTAGTGAGGAGTGGGCCGTTTACTCTACTACGTTTTCATAATTATTCAATTCGCCATTTCCTATTCGCTTATTCGCTTTTGAACTGATTGTGCATTATCGAATCCACTTTTGGTGCCATACTCTATTCGCTTTTGAACTGCTTGTTCACTATTCAATGCGCCGACTACTGGCGTTGAGTGCGCCTGGCAGGTATTATCGAGACAGTTTCTGAGTACCGTGTGAAAAATTGCGACTAGAAGCCCGGAACTCGTCCCACTTGGCTACAGCTGAAGAGACCGAACAAACAGACTGTTTTGTTGCGGATCCCACACTTCCGTTGACGCATCATTTTATCTGAGCGATACTGGCTAGCCTCTCTTCTTGTTCATCTTCGGCTCATGAAGGGTGATGGGAACTTTCAATCCATGACATCATTCAGATTTTCGGAAACATACTTGCAACACATAATGTCGGGTCCTATAGTTGATCTACTGATAAGGAACGACAAATCAGCTGCTCTGTTCTGTTCAATGTGTTTGGCATTTTTCATATTCCAAAACTGTCTGTGTGAATTATCTCATCGAAGACAGTGCACCAGTTACCACTAGCGAAACTATTGATGGAGTAATGGGATTCTGAAAAAATTAACCAAAAATTACTTAGCTACGCGCCTGTCGTTGATGCGTTTATAGACCTGTACAAGCTGACTGGTCAGTAAGTTTTGCGCGCTTCCATGCTTACAGACTCTTACATAGGTTGAATCCGTAGGGTGTCCTTGGAGGTTGCTCAACGTCTTCATCGTTTGCTCCGAGGTTATCCATGAAAGGTCAAGCGATAAGCATCCATTGTAGTGAATCAGCAACGTGTATCGTGGAAGTATATTATTTTTGTTGGTAAACTGACGAAAGGTTACTGACAAGTTACTATTCAATGACTCGATTTATTTCATTTCTTGCTCAGCTCTTAGCCACCAAAGGAACAGTTAATATGGATGGATTGATGTTTTCTTTGTCCATGTAAGCTTTTTGTGCTTCGGTTCCCTCAAACTAAAAACGATCATAGTCAGCAAATGAAGCACTGAAACCGTACAATGTAAAAGTTTTGCCGACCGGTGTGGTGAGAACAAGGATTTTCTCGGGTTTCACTGGGCCGCCTGTTCGACTGATGACTATGTCGAGACTCTTGCCCACGTCAAGCATGGCGAACACCGGATTAACTCTGTAAAACAAAATCGAAGGGTCCAGAAGTGAATTAGCGTTGAGCATTGTGAATAATTGCTTACTTATACATTTCGTTGTTAGAGCACTTCAATTTCATCGCTTGCTTTTTCTTCAGGTTATTCGTGACTTTAAGTACCTGTGAATTAAACTTTTAAAGGAATCCTTCACGGAAAAATCATGATTCTATTTCAGCCATAAATCACTGGCTTGAGACTCATTATCCACGATAAGAATGAAAAGAACAGAAATATTGCTTTTGTTTTGGTAAAAATTCGAAAAATCGAAAGGGCTGCTACGCGTTCAAAGTGCCCACGGACGTCTTTCACAAATGCTGGCGACGGGGATGCTTCCACTTGGTTCTTGGAGTGCCTTCACTAGAAACTCTTTCTGGCCTTCTGCTTTATTGCATTCACATCTTACACTTCTACTCCATCCTATTCTATCGATCGATTTGTCTCTACTCTCCGAAATCGCGCGCTTTAACCCGATTCTTTCATTGCGTCGCCTGATACGTAGCCGGCCAAAGGCCAACTTCTTTCCATGCCTCGCCTTTGGCTCCGCCCGAATTACCTTCGATTGTCCATAGAGTGTAGTTTTTGTACGTTTGTTTCTCTTCGGAAACCGAATCTTCATGCGTGAAACTTTGTGTGCTGTTTCCAGTGATCACAACTGACACATTCATGTCAAGAAAGAATGCAAATTTTTCGCGAAGGATTCCTTTTAAGTTTCAGTGATGAAAGCAGTCGAGCGGCGACCCCTGTGCCGCTTAAGGAAGGGATTAGTTAACTCGAATTCATTGTGGAAAATGTGCCACACTGCAGCTTGAAACTTAAGCGTGCTCCACTTTAAGTGTGCAGATCAAGTGGAATGTCTTTATGCCGGCGGCGGAAGCCTGCGTCTTGCTTGTCTACTACGAACTCTCGCTTGCTTTCCTGTCCGAGCGCCCAGTAATCTCGGACTATTTGTCTCATGGACGCAGCTGTCATTTTCGAAAAAAATGTGAGAAGCTTCCTCCTAGGACTTTTTGGATTTCCTTCTCTTTTTTTGAGGATCAAGCCCACACAACCCGTCAAGTGTTACTTTTTCCTTCATACAAACATGAACAATGATTTCTCGGTAGAAGGTGTAGGCGAGGAGCAATCAATATGAGGGGAAGAGTGAGGGGTTTTCTTGGCGTTTCTCCGCGTCTACAGGTTGAGCCGCTGTGATTGGAGCTACTACGCTTGCACCTTCTACTACACCTTCACCTTCCGCTACACGAGAATAGGAATACAAATTCGGCTTGTCGATGTAACCGTGGTTAGCACACCATTCACATCGAACTTGACCTGCCTGTGACTTCTGGCCTTCCAGGCTAGACTGAAGGCCACGAGCTTTCAAGTCCTCCTGGAATATTATTTACTGCGATTTGCGAGGTGCCTTTGAATTTACTTTGAGCAGGATGCATTGGAAAATTCTGGCTTTTCTGAAGGCAGTTGGTGTGATAATTTGGGTAGGTTTACAGGGGCGAGATACCCGCTAGGAAGTGAAGTTATCCATGTGTCTTCGCAGAAAATTGGTAGATGGTGCGCGCGCGTGACGAGACGGAGAGCCTGGTTGCCCGGCAGGACGAAGTTTTTCGGTGTCAGCTGATATGCCATTCCTCAGATAATGCTCCAGCAGAAACCACCGAGTTACGGGCCGCAGCAGTGTCGGCAGCATATGCTGCCGACACGCCCACTAGTCTCTGACTGGCTGGCTCGTGTCTGCACGCAGTAACCTTTGTGGTGGTAGCCAATCACGGACGAGTGGGCGTGTCGGCAGCATATGCTGCCGACACTGCTGCGGCCCGTAACTCGGTGGTTTCTGCTGGAGCGATGAGTGCGGAGGTTAACGGCTTTTGCTTTCTACTCAACGCAGTGACGCTTAAGCTAGAGCACGCTCGGCCAGGCGTTTCGACTTCCTGCGCATTGGATGTTGCATGGAGCACTATGCAACTTCGTGGCATTTTGAGTATGTCGCGAACAGCACCTGTCCGTAGCGGCAACACCAGTGTATCGCTCAACTGCACGTGAGCAACTGGGCCGCACAGCTCCGGACCACGAGATCTCGCCAGCGCATCATCGCAGGCGAAGCGGACCTATCCCTTTGGATACCATTCGAGTTTTAACGCCGCGCACTCTACAGGGGCCCATACATGAGCCGCCGCCAGCTACCCGTTATACCTACACATCAACGGTAACAACCGCATCAAATCATAGCAAATATCTCAAGAAAAAAAGGACAATATCTATAACCAATGAGCACAGAGATACATACAGGGGTGGCCTAATAAAAAAGAGACACTTTGCCCATGGCGCACATCATCGAACTTTTCGTCGCACAGGGTGCCGATGTTAATGAAAGTTTTACGGCGAAATATTCCTAAGGTGTTCCCCCGTAAACAGAAGCAGGCCTCACCGTCGAGCTCAACGAGGCTTACCGTAATCGCTCCGACCTGCCTGAAGCTGCTACATAATTTCTTCAATGGATTAACTGTTGAATAGCTTCCCAGAGACATTAGCTGTGACTGTGCAAAACCGCTTTTGACCAGCGTTTCAGGGACGTCGTAATGGTCCGACCTCGTTGAGCTCGTACCGTGAACCATGTTTCCGTGGGAAATCTTCTGATGTCGTCGGTGTAGAAGGCTGTCATGTAAGTTTAGATAGATTAGAATGTGCTCTTAATACTGAGTTGGGGCAGTCGATTTGATTTTAGCAAAGTGTGATTAATGCTGTCTGAAATGTGGAGTCAAGTGTCTCTTTTTTTGGCCACCCCTGTATTTACTACACGTGATAACTTACCACCACTTCCGATTCCCCTCATCTCAAGGGTAGACTAAGCTGGCTGCCCTTATTAGACCCCAATCCTCGCTCGGACACTCATCCAGACACGTCGGCAGAGGCACGAGGACGGCTGCTCCCAGATGGGGAGGAAGGCCGGGTCGCGGCGGGCGCACCGCCAACTTGGACTCAGTGGAGACGTTCCCCCTGTGTCGGCTTTCTCCCTTTACCAGGATAAGAGCGACCCGCCACCTTTCTACCAGCCTCGATGACAACACAGTACCTATTCAAGATTCAAGCGATATACCCTCAGCTACAAAGGTTGCAAACGAATCCATGACTTTCCAGGCAGCTAGGTAGAAAGCGTGGTCGGCGACCGCTTCCTGCGGTGATCGTGGGCGAACAGCGGCTGGCATCGACCGTAGAGCGGCCAATGACAGAATGTGGCATCCGAGGCGAATCGGCAGGGGCAACCGTCGCATCCGCTACAATACCCACGCTTTCGGACCCTGACTAAAGCTAGGGAGAGAAAGAACCTCTTCGGGAACGTTGAGCTCTATCAAAGTGAAATCGGGTGGTACTTTAGAATATTGACCCCAGGTACTAGTTCAAAATCAACCCTCAACTACAGGGACTGATTTTCGGGCGCGGTCACGTAGTTTTGTTAGACGACGCCCAATTTTGATTGTGACTTGATCATACATAAGTCTATTGCTCTTGTGTATTGAGCTGTAAGCGGTGGAGCTGACCGCGTCACTACGCGCACCCAACTACAACGACTGCGAAACAGCCTTTGTGTATGGGGTCACAATTACATAGTGATTTTTTACAAGTTGTGCTTGTCTGGCTTACCTCCTCCTGTTGATTCGACCTGAAATGTGCCTAGTTATTCGATCTAGTGTAGTTCTCATTAACAATTACAGAAATGGTAATCAAATTGCTTCCATAGTGTGACAATTGAAAAATTCTCGCACCTTTGTACCTGTCGGAGATGCCATGGTTTTATCAACTTTAAGCTGAAATTTGCATAGTAAAATCATTTCTTATGAATCTATTAAATACAGTAAGCATACGTCATCCTTATGGCTATCTTCATCCTTCTTTTCCTCTTTCTTCTCCTCTGCTACTTCTTTTTTCTCTTCCTCTTTCTTCTCCTCAACCTTTTCCTCCTTCTTTTCCTCAGGCGGTTTTTCAACCTCTTTCTTCTCTTCTGACTTCTTCTCTTCAGGTGGTTTCTCGGGTTCTTTCTTCTCCTCTTCTTTCTTTTCTTCAGGCGGTTTCTCAACTTCCTTCTTCTCCTCTTCTTTCTTCTCCTCCTTCTTCTCTTCAGGAGGTTTTTCAACCTCCTTCTTCTCCTCTTCTTTCTTTTCTTCCTTTCTTCTCTTCGGCCGGTTTATCAACTTCTTTCTTTTCCTCAATCGCTGTCTTGTCCGTCTTGGCAACGTCGCCGGGTTTTGCAGTTGCAACTGCTGGCTCACCTGGTTTCGAACTCGGTGCTCCCTAAATGAAAACATATCGACATGTCCTATTTCTCTCAAAACAGTTTCACAAGGAAAGGTACGAAGGAAGTATTATTTCGGTTGAGCACACAAGTGCTCAACTTATTGTCATCGTATTTCAAAATTTCACTTAACTTCCAAAAAAGATTATCTTCATCATATTCAGTCACACCGTATACTCTGTCCTCACACTACGCGTGGGAATGGAGAACCCTTTTCCCCAGATCCAAATAGTCTCCGACCCCAAGAATAACTGGACATCCCTTTCGAGCTGTTTGCAACCGTTGTACTTCTTCTCTTTCAACAAACTTCTTCTCTTTCACAATTGGACAAGCAAGCGGAACTACTGGTGAGCGGTTGACATACCATGGCGGGATCATGAATAGTGGGAAGGAGCTGAAGCCATGTTCTGTATAGTATTCTGGCATGAGCCCAAAGGATGTGAGTTGCAAACTGCCGCGCAATGGAACGATTTCATCTATTAGGAGCCACAACCTTGCGGTATTCAAAACTGACTACTCAGCGGCAAACAAGGGACGTTTGTGCAAACAGTGGTGGTATCGGTGAGTCCCCAACGAAGCAGTCCATCAACTCGGAGAGCGCAACCACCTTCGAAGTGAAGGCCACGTCTTGAAGCTCGTCCTTCGCTTGTGAGTGCTGTATTGTCCTTCATGATGCCTACGTATTTTGTAATACGGATGACTCGAGCATACTGCCAACCCTGTGACCAGTTATCAAACCGCTCCAAACTACGTCTTTTAGAAAGCAACTTTGGTAGATGACAAGGGTCCTCCGAGCAACTTTCTCCGACTCGTGTGCATCTATCCTCCGAACTTGAAAAGTTTCCCATTGCTCAAACAGCGTGACTTACGGTGCCCTGGGAACACTGAAGGTCAACTGTGTAAGTGACGGGTTCTGGCGTACGGGTTGCCTTCAAGAAAATCTTGAATGCGTTCAAAATGTCTACCGGTTAGTGGTCTAATAGGCTGTAGTGCGCTCCGGCGATAAGTTTCCGAATCCCTTTCGACAGACCTGTTTTCCCAGCGTGTCTCGTCCTTCGCTGCACCAACTCCGATAGGCGCCTTTCTCGTCAAATGACTCAAACGGAGCTCTGAAGTGACAGTACGAAACATGACAGTGAAGTAGATCGGATTTTGAGTCCTCCCTAGATCAATAATCAGCCAATTCGATCTCGACCGACGTGCCTTTACGCCTGCGCCACTTAAGCTAAATTTGAGGCTGAAATTCTTAAGGATATTATGAGGCTCACCTTTTTGGATTTTGCGTCAATCTTTTTCTTCTTGCCACCACATTGGACGAGAAATAATAGAGAGGATAAGAATTGCAGAATCAAATAGACAGAAAGATAAATCATCGCATTAAATAGCAATGCGTATTTTTTCTATACGAAACCTGGAATGCAAAGCTGCCTCAAGGGACAATCACATTGTCCGGACAGTTACTTTCTGATAGTCCCAATCTCACTTACCACTAGTGCGGAGTAGGTATCTACTCGAAACCGATTCTGAGGTTGTCTAATCGAATATTTTTCAAATGGCACTCACAGCTATGGAAATGCACGGAACTGCGTGGGCAAGTCCTTACCTGTGAGTTGCGGCGCCAATTCCGCCATCTCCCCAACAAACACGGGAAGGCGTTTTAGGGTTTCAAAGCGTTTTTAAACTGGTCCTCTTGCAAAGATCCTAGATGCGGGAACACAGAACCATGGTTCAATATTTTTCCTGAACGGCCCTCTGAATACCAGAAAAGGGGTCCCTAGTTCGATTCCTCGTGGTGACAAATTTTTGCATTTCGAGTTGACGTTCAAAATTCGCGCAAAATGGAGTTAGCATGAATAATTAGTACCATATTTCATGATTAGACCGTCAGTAACCTTTACAAAATAGGCTTTGATTGAACGAAACTGGTGAAAAGGTGTGACACAAAACAGCCCCACTGTGATGTCACAACTTTTTCACCAGTTTTTCAATCAAAGTCTATTTGTAAGGGTTACTGACGGTCCTAATCATGAATATGGTACTAATTATTCATGCTAACTCCATTTTGCGCGAATTTTGGAAACGTCAACTCGAAATGCAAAAATTTGTCACCACGAGGAATCGAACTAGGGACCCCCTTTTCTGGTATTCAGAGGGCCGTTCAGGAAAAATGAACATGCTTCCGTGGCATGTGCCCCAATGTTGCAAGAAACCATTTTGAAAAATGGCACAC